CAGCAATGGTTGCATTATAGCAAGTATCAGCCTCTCTAGCAATCAGGGCTAGACCGAAATGCATGAAACAAGGCAGTATTTTGTAGAACCTCAGGGAGATGAATTGAGTATGGGAGTTATCCGGGAGGTTTTCGATTCTGGTGGTGCGTACTGTTTAAGGGTATACAAATTGAAGCATAGATAGAGACAGAAAGTGTAGTGGAATATCGCTATAAAACCTGGGGAAACAAAACGTTAGAGACACTGTTCCTAATTAAGCGGGCATTTGCCAGTCGTGTACACGTCCTACTGCAAACTTACCCTGGCGAAATATGTATTCATACTTTCTTGTGGCACAAACCTATATAAATTGTCAGCGGTACTGGTGTAAAGATGAAAGCTCTTCGCCGCGAACACGTTTATTAACAAACACCAACTAAACAGTTACGTACCTTCGGACAGGAAAGTAAACTCTCATATTTCACCTTTTCTTCTTAGCTGAATATCCGTCTTCTTCATGAACGCGCCTTCTTGAAGTTCCCTGGATATTCATTGACTATCAAGCAATTGTAAACGAATGCTGCAAAGCAGTTTCACAAAGTCCGTAGTATATGCCACCTTTCATTAGATCAAGACGGAGTTACGAGAAAACCACATACTACTCGCATCCCTCATCAGCAATATCCACCGTTGCACCGGTTTGGGCAGCGCAAAAGCTACTTCGATATCCCCCCTCAACTACTTCATTTCCTTCCAACTGTTTGTGCAATCTGACCACGAGACGAAGCAGGCACGTAGCTCTTCCAGTCTAGCCATCTTGAACTCCACTGTGTCACCATCACGTGCGTTCTTCCCCTACAGCTGCGAAGGGTCATGAGCACAGCAGAACTGAATCGATGTAGGTAGATACGCGTCTTTGCTGGCAGTAGATGTTTAGAATGTTTGAGAATGCATAGCAATAAGTGGATGAGCCATTATTATCAAAGACTTTGAAACCTCCAGTCCGTATATTCAGCCGTTGGCAGTTCATATTATCAGTTTATATTTTGGATCCAAATAATGTGTCTGCTAATATGCATCACCAGTCGACTGCTGCTGTTCGAGAGAATCCTTCAGAAAATTCTGATCACCCAACATTCTCGATCAGCTACCGGTTGGTGCGTTCAATATTCAGCAAAGTAACTGTCACGACCAGTCGTATTTCCTTTCGTCTGGCTTCTGTGATGGCAATGATGGACCAGGACCAGTAGGGTTGGTGATCTTGGAAGACATTTCCTCGAAAAGCACCCTTTCCTTGTAAAGCAATCAGTTTTTAAACCGGGCAATCATGTCTTCTTCTTGAAATCGTGCGCACATCAGGGAAGTTTGCAAACAAATAAAACCAACTTGGTGGTTACTAAACAAGACCATCCACTGGGATATCCTTCTCGGTCAAACAGGTTTGTACATCCCAAGCTCCTAAGTTTTAGATGCTATTCATCATGTTCGATTAGTAACACATGTTTCCGATCATTAGTCTCGACTGGCTTTTGGACAAAATCCCCGTCTATAGCACCTTTTCTTATGAATGTCTTCTACTTGAGATAAATGTGCTGCAAATGGGCGCATCATAGGTCATTGCTAAATTCATTCTGCAATGTTGTCAGTTGCTCTTTTGGTATGATATCCAAGACATCGATGTACTACGCACAACATCAACGAAAAACTACTAGTTTTGTCCTTCCCAACGTTCAGTTGGTGGGCTCAGTTAAATCAGTTTTATTTGGTGCTTGAATCCCAAACTGAATGTATGTAGAGATACACATTCTTTTGCAAATCGAGTTGATGATAGCAGTAAACTAAACTGAAACTAAACTGAATACCTCCAGTTGAATTGGCTAACCAGTGTATATCTCCACATCAATTCAGCGGGAAATCCAGTTACGAAGCAAGAGAGCCTATCTGATGAGCTCCAAATGGAGTTGCTATTGATTCTGTGAGTGATGATACGTCGAAGCATTTACTCTATTATCGGTTTCGTGACATAACGTTTCCGGGACACCATACCAGGTTCATCCCGACACATTTCATTCAGGTTCCATAGTGTACAAAATCTCATAGGCGCACAGGTTTCTAGCCGGTAGTTTCTTAACCGTTTACCCTGCGTCGACTGTGTGCACGTTTGCGTAAAATCAACAATTGTGCAACTGTCACATTGTCTTCTCAGCCAATAAGATCTCGCAATGCTTCGGAGTCCAGAAGGAAAATCAACTCATGCAGACCAGAGAGTTCAGGATGTATCTTGTTTCACTCATGTTAGAAGCAGCTACGGTATGCTCAGCAGTTGATACAGATGAAAAACTTGCCCGGCGGCTACCCATTGCTCTGCTGAATTAAGTTTCACCTGAGGTTACTTTTAGTTTGTAAGTAGTGGAAATATTTTAAGTGCTTCCACAGTAGTCTCACTTTTACTGCAATGCTTTCGGCTGGTATTCAAACAAGGAAATCCATCTTGAAGTCAGTAGAGAGCGGTTGTCATCAGTCATTAGAAAACGGTTCCTGAGAGAAAATTGTTTTGAAAAGACAAAAATTATTTTGCAGCTGTTCACAAATACACTTATTTGCATATCCTTTTTGTTTTGACGAGACTCACCTGGAACCCAGCTGCATCTTCAGTATATGTTGTTAGGCAGCTATTTCATCCCATTTGAGGATCACTGGCAGCGCGTATCCCTTGAAATCCCAGTGAAAGCTGTTATCAGGATGTCAGTCGATTTTGTTTCAGGAATATGGTGGCGGATGGAACTCTGCCATCATCCTACTACGTCTGCCATTCGTGCAGGGTTGGGACTTGTATTCCGCCAATTATCTATTACCCCTGTAGGCCATTTTCCAAGAGATATATCTTCACCAGAGACTAGAACCAAGTATCTTCGTTTTAATTCTTGAGATGTTCTGGGCCAATTAGTACCCATCCGCAACGTCAGTAAGTATTACTTTATCCAACGATGCCATAATACGGGAGCGAGTTAACTGACTCGTTTCTGACTGTCATAATATGGCGAAGCAAATTGGACTGCAGGACTGCATCACATGAGCGACAAACTGTTTGAAATAAGCGGCTTTACAGAAGCATTTTTTTAAAAAGAATTCGGCAGCGATTTTAAGCAGTCATCAAAATATAGATTACTGTTTATTGCGCCGCAAGTTCAGAGGGCCAAACCTGAGCTGAATTTTTCAATTGTCTTCGTAGAAGGGGGAGGAGATGGTGCCAAACGGGTGGTAGGTCCATTAAAATTCAGTCGGTTCCCAAGGGTCAGCCCTAACCTGCAAGAACATCTCTTCGATATCCTCTGTCACAATAACTTGTTGTAAGCCAAGCGTGACGCTTACAGGGTTTGTGATTAAATCAGGGCCTTGATACAGATGATCGTTCACGGACAAATCATGACACCTGACAGCGCAGCCGAATACAACCCGAAACTTTTCTGGCTTTTTTTAAGTTGATTGGATGGTGTGAGATATCAGTGTTTTGTATTTCACGGGTGTGAGGCACTTGCCAGTCGTTTAATCTATCTTTTTTTCCAGGTGCACACGAAGCACCTGATCGCACTTTCCCTGTGCATTACGATCCTTGGACAGTCCAGTTTTCAGATTATCTAGGCGTTTTCTAGCTACGTGAAAAGTATCCAGTAGGGAAAGTGCGTTATAGTTCCATGTGAGTGGTAGCTGGTAGTGTCCATTTACCCGCACCTCACTATCTCCACCCTCTTTGTTCCTCTAACGAAAGAAGACCGTCTGCCTTTCAGGGCTCTTTTCGCCCACTCCTGTGCTGAGTGGTGACCGAAAGGTGGACAGTGTATGAACTGGCAACGAGGTATGAAAACACTAACCAGTAAACTTAGTCGGGTCGACAACTGCGCCTCCCTGAATGGGGACCCCGGGACTTGACCCATCAGTGGTTAATGACAACGGCAGAAATGGCCCTATCGCGCAGTTAGTGGAGTTCAAGCGTCAAAGCTACCGCTTTCAATGAGCATCTACCCAATTTCCGAACTAACTGAACATGCCATCACTTCCCAAGCTTGGCCATATCTCACGCACTCCCCCATTTTCCGGTGACCGAAACTCTAGCAACTGGAACCAATGTACCTATGGTACATGGTTTATGGCTGATAAATTGATTGACTGATGGCTTCCCAAAAGTTTGAGTCTTAATTCCTCGCACCATTTTCCACAATTTGGGAATTACCCAAAAGAACGTGTTTGTTCTCCACTGGCTAGTTATACCTTGTGTAAGCTATCAAGTTTCTAGTTCTCCAGCATCAGTTGGAACATGTTTAGCGTCGCTCCAGCTGTGGATTATCCTCGGTCTGGGGCCAATATGCACTCGCTTAAGGGTCAGGCAATCCATTGTGCCTCTCCAGGGAGGGATTTATGTCTGCGAGTGTTCTAAGCATCTGATAACGCGCGAGTCAATCTCAACTTCGTCCTGTGTACGTAAAAATTAGTCTACCAAAAGTATCAGACCGTCAGTTGCACTACGCAGCCAAAGGTCGTTGAGATTAACCGTGCTTAACCTCGTTTGTCTATCAGTCACCCTGATCTCCGCGTAACCAAGCGTAAAGACTGTCAAGATTGTTAACTTCGTCACGTCTTACTCATAACCGATTCCCCCTATACATCAGGACCCGTTCCCGAACACCTGCCACAGTATATAATCTATAAAATGCATGCAAATCGCTTATCCTTCTGGGATAGTCATCTTTCGCGCGAGTCGTCGCTTGGTTTGTATGGGAGCCTCCAAATTTAGCCGCGATCCTTCTCTGATACAAGATGGAGCTTGATCTATAAATAAAGACAAAACATACTTTTACTATACTATCAAAGCTGACGATGGGACAACACATCACACTGCCGAGAATCTTTGGTACTGTGGACGTCAAGGAACGGGTGTGGGTCTGTGATTTGGGTGTAGTTGTGTGGCCACTGCACACAGATAGTTTTGTCAAGACTTCTTCCCAAAACATTGAAAAATAACCACTGGTGAATTTCAGAAATATACTTGAAACAGAAAAAACCAACAAGTCGACAACAAAGAATGTCAAATACACAGCCATTGAAAAAGCTTCGAAAGTCATCAGGTATGCAATAAAGTATGTAACACAGAGGAAGCGGAATGTCGGGAGAAGCGAGTGTCAGGCGCGGTCACAAATAGCATCCACGATCTGAGGGATGGAACATAGAAATTATCGGTTAAAAAAACGAAGCAAGACTCTTACAAAGGCCCCTGGTACTTAATTCACGCCAAGGAAAATGTGAAAACTATGTGTGTGCCTATCAGAAGTTGCAGTCGACTGATGAGGACTAATACTGCTGCACTACTATCCACATTTACTCCGTTTCCTATTGATCGGTTCATCTGTGTTTTTTCACTTCCACGGTTGAAACGAACGAACTGAATTAGAAATGTTGCAGTGTCATGGACTTTTACAAATCAGAACAAGATCTGCAGACATGTCACGGGAGTTTACACATTGGGTTATCCTGACCACGGGGTACCATTTTCACGTACTGTTTGGGCTTGTATGCGGTCACAATCCGGTAGGTTGGAACATTAAAAATCTAGCCGTGACTATGCCACGGAGAACCGATTGGAGAACAGAGACACCATAGCGCCAACAACCGTAATACGGGACGTTCTGAGAGGCTGAGTCGGATCGTCCTTTGCGTGAAGAAATGTAAAAGCAGAAGGATGTTTCCTTTACAAGGCCCACATTTCCACACGTACAGAAGTAGAGTGGCTGACATTCCCTGAGGCAGGAAAGGTTAAGAAACATCAGCCCTGAGGCCTGAACAATTCGAGCGCCAAATTAGAGGCAAAGGCAGCAAAAACATGGCACTGAAATACTTCTGCTGCGATTGAAAAAATTCAATATACCAACAATGGCTCCTGATTGGACATACGAGTGTCAGCATTTGTTACTGGTCTATCGTTGTCCATGATGGTGAAAATAGGCGGATGAGCAGGTTCGGTCAACCGGAAACACTAGTACAGTCTGACTGTATGATGACGTTCAAATTAGGTCAACCACACACAAAACACGAACGAGTAAAACCTCAAATAAAACTAGTCGGTGTAGTAAATGTAGCTGAAACGAATCTCCCCTAGCTGAATGTCCCCTTTATGGAAATATACTGCGATATCTGGAACATCGTACCAACTGAAACATGAGGTGGCCTCTGTGTAGCACATTCAGTTGAAGAATATCACAAGCGAGATTCATTTGAGTCTCCCATGAAAACTGAATTGGAATTAGTGTATTTGCCGAAACCGGTCCAATTTGAGTTCAAGTAGAACATAAGGTTGACGGAAACCCGGGGGCTGCGCCTACCTGATGAGCCTGAAAAAGAGCGAAGCCGGTAGTGGGCTGTCAGTTTTTAGAAAACTTGAGTAGTTTCCTTTATGACGCAGGACACTCCACGAGAAAAACTTAGTGCCTGTCACGCCATAGAGAAAATGAGCATGACCTGTTACGTTTGTGCCAACCCCGGTTTTGTTCACCGGACACGAGAATTCCAGCAATCACATCTGTTAGCTCGGTAGTTTGGTTCCAATCGACCTGTCTGTTGGTGCTCTACTTACCTACAATATGTTATATCTCAGTGTAGTTCTAGTAGCAGTTGGTGTTCAATGATGTTCATGACTACTTTTTTACTTCTTTTAAACTGTAAGCCTCACCAATAAAAAATCTGCCTGTTAGTTCCTGTCTTACAACCCCTAGGATGAGTATTTGCAGTCCTAATGCGTCTACTTCCACCGCGACAATCACTGATGCAAAACGAATACAAAGTAACCGTGAATATATGGCTTACACTATCCTCCATCAGCTGTGGATCAACACAGCGGTTCACGACACTGTAGAGCACATCATCCAAAAGTGTTCCAACGAGCCTGAAACGAACGAAAATCAAGAATAATAGTGTGATGCATGGTTGGTGGTAACCGACAGGACAACAAACCGGTCACAAAAGGAATAAAGTAAAATACCGCCTCCAACTCACTTCTCATCATTGACAAAGTGCCACAAATGGATCTGCAGATACCGGCAATCCACTTGGATTTGTTGTAGTCCAAACTTTCCGAATGTTTGTAGTCGTACACACTCCACCAAAGTCTGAGGTGAGACGAAAAACAAACGTGATTATGCTGTGCAACATTGACTACACAAGCGCACCGTAGCAATGGGTTTTAGGATTATAATGTAGTGGAAAACTGTCCTCCAAACAGAGTCGCTTTCTAGAGAGTATACAACGGGGAATGGCCGTGGGCCATTTACCTACACACACACACACACACACACACACACACACACACAAGAAAGATGC